GGAATGGGCGGAAAAATGGCCGCGGACCACGTGGCATGGGCGGAAAAATGGCCGCGGACCATGTGGAACAGGCGGAAAATAGCTCATAAGTCGAGGCGGGTTCATAAGTAGAGGTAAATTTTTGGGGCAGGAGCTGATCGTATCTCGAAAATTTCGTAAGTAGGGGCATTCATAAGTAGAGGTACCACTGTATATGAATAACATACGGCTTTACCTTACTTTTCAATCTGTCAGTCACAGGGAGATAGTAGAAAAACTGAACATGTGTCTGAAAGCAGTTTTGGGATCAATAAGAATAAACAACCGTAATTAATTCAGACAGGTTGGAAAAAATTAGGGACTGGGAAATCTTCTGTTCTGGATGCAGATTTTCATTCGTCTTGGACCTTGAAGGCTGAGTCTGGAACTTGTGGTTTATTCTGCTCTGAGTTCTTCCAATGCAGAGAACAGAAGTATTGTGCAGGGTTACTTTTTACCAATATCTAGGAAAAGCAAGAGCTACAACATAGCTTTGCATCCAGGCAAAGCCATTATAATGACTCTACGTGAGGTTGCATTTGAAGGTGTTCCTGAAAGTTCAGCTTCTACAGAATGCAGATGTTTGCATACTGGTAGAAGCTAACTATTTGGAGCATATAACATTGTATTGTACTACTCATGTTAATTGCCTATTTTAAAGTCAAAATTAAAATGCTTATAGTAATATTCAGAGCGTTTAATAGTTTGTGACCAGATGACTCAATTATGGGTGAGATAGGAGGACTCAAACAGAACTGAAGCCAGGACACCTAGGCTGTACCTGTAGAACATGCATAAATGGGCCTGATCTGGAGTAAGGATGTCATGAAAACACCATAATTCTCCCCATTTGACTACATCATTCACATTCATACAGCACTAGGGCATATACATGAGCATTTACCTTGGTGTAATACAGACTGGGACAGTTGAACACAGGTCTAAAGTGTGACAAACCTTAATGCTAACAAGTGTCAAATCAAGTATCGAATCAAATCAATTTGATTTGATTTGAAACAAGCATTGAGTTAATAGGGAAAAAGCTCTCAAAAATAGTTTTACATACAAACATATCAATATATCAGTAGTGTTCTAAATGACATTAAAGGTCCCCTGTTAAAATTACAATGGTTGTATTTGGATTACTTCAACTCACACGGTAGTCCTGTTCATGCTTAAAAGATACAGATTCCCTTGAATCAAGCTCAGCTTCAGGTGATTACATGGACACACCCATGCAGTTTTCCTGGCATTGTTTTGAGGGGGGGGGGCATTATCTCTTTTCAGCTTCCCTTTCTACCCTACAGCCCTGGGATTTCCCTGTTGTCTCTGATCCAAATACTAACCATAGCCTATCCTGCTTAACTTTTCTCATGATTAGTTGAGGATGTCTAAGTGTATAGATCTCCTGTGGACTATTCATGCTTATGTTAAAGTCAGTCCTGTAAATTCTATTGACATAATGGGACTTACTTTAAAAGAAACATACATACAATTGTGCTGTTAGTTCTGTTACCACACTTTAAGAACAAATCTGTGAGCAACTCTGGTTATATGATAGCAATCTTTTATAGGTTTAATATTTGGTTTCTATTTTGACTCCAATAAAGGTAACGAAAGCACTGTGTAATTCTTTCTCTTTTTAATATCTATTTTTAGAAATTTTTTAACACTACAACAGAGTCCTATTACAAGACAGTGGCAAGAAAAACCATTATGTCTGGGCAACAGTGGTTCATGTCAAGGTTTCTTTGCTGGACATATTTTAGGATTTGGTGAAGATGAATTAGGTAAGACAAAAAGCAACTTCTTAATATTTTACAATACATGAAGTGGAATTTAGCCAAGAACTTATGATATATTTATTTATTAATTAGTTAATACATTTTCATGAAATAAACTGAAACATTTCATGAAAGAGCCATTTAATTCATTGTGTGAGATACAGGAGTTCAAATTAATAATCAGCCTCCACTTGAATAAATCCAGTGAAGAACCAAATTATTCACAATATTAAAACAGAAAAATAACAATATTATAAAATGGTAGGATAGTGATAAAACAACCATAGTGGTAAAAAGTCAATTAATAAAAGCTAATTAAAAACTTTTGCAAACAAAAAGCTCATCTGGCAGCAGAAAATAGTAACAGCAAAGCTTTGTGTAAATTTGCCCATAACGGTAATTCTATTTTTAATTCACCATTGTTTTATCTCAGCACCTCTAAAATGTGAGGACAGAATTCCCTTTGGTTATCCAGTATGTAGAATATCCTCCAGGTATGTTGGATTACAAACATATTACCAGCGAGAATTATGGGAGTTAAAGCCCAAAATATCTGGAGGACATCAAGTTGGAAAAAGCTGCTGTAGATAAATACTTTGAACTGTACTGAGAAATAGCTAGATTATATAGGCAATGGAGCTATAGAAGTGTGAAGGAAATACATTTGTAACAAACAGGCCCAATAGACATATGTTGTATTATCTACAAGCAATATTTAAAGGGAGCATTATATTCAGTAATTTGGAATAGTGATGAGAAGCATATAGAACTATTAATTACAACTCCCTACTCAGTGCAGGAATCCAGATTAAATCATTTTGACAGATATCTATCCAGCCTCTGCTTAAATACATACAGTGGAAAGGAATCTGCTAGAAATTTGATCTACCATCCAACTGAAATTTGATCTATCATCATACTGGGATTCTAAGCTAAAATGTTTTGAGAACTGTAACATATAATTTAAACCAGACCATTGTGCCAAGCCATAATGTTGGGGATAGCTTATTATATAATCACAGCAATTATATTTTGCTAATCTGAATTTAGGGTTTTGTAAATGGTGTGAATCCAAAGAGTGCTATGATAGCCTTCTCTCAGTCTTCTCTTCTCAATATGATGCATATTGGATACCTACTTAAATTTTTTAAAGGAACTATGATCATTGTGGCCAAGATATCTCCAAAAGGCAGCAATATGCTAGCAGTATACAGTATGTTATAGTATATCTGCTATACATTTGCTTTTCCTTTTTATTTCTTAAAAAAATCCTATCAATAAATATGGCCCTGCTGCAACTCAGTCCCTGTTTACATTATTAAATAAGCCATGGAAGAAAGGTAAAGAAGTATGCCAGCATACTTCATAATTCATGTGTACTAAATATCTTAGGAAACATGCAATCAAATGCATGCACCACAATATTTCAGAGACTCAAGAATTGCAAAATCCAGCAATTTTGTCAAAATGACTAAATGAGCATCATGACATCACAACCCAAGCATCACCCCATATAAGTCCTTTGACATCACAATACACATACAGAAGGGGCACTGTTTGCATCACAACTATACACTGCTTGCTTCATCATTTGCCTTACCCTCACCCCTTTTTCCCTATGGATGCCTCTGCCCCAGAAGAATTTTCTAGTCTTACTTCATCATGCTGCTTTATCTCAGCTTCTCTTTGCAGTTTTGAAAATGAGGGTATTAATTAGGATTGATGTAATGGTCAATTAGATAATCCCTTCTACATAAAAATACCCATAAAATTGTACTTTTCATGATAATACATATGTTGCTTGATGTTTTTAGTGAATGCCACTGTTTATTTAATGTGCTTCATTAACAGGTGAGGTTTACATCTTAGCAAGCAGTAAAAGCATGACACAATCACATAATGGAAAACTCTATAAAATCATTGATCCCAAAAGGTAAGAAATGAATACATAGACATAAAGGCTAGTCTTTAATAGGGCATGACTTTCCTGATCAGAAAACAGGAAATTTAGATTCTGGCACTAGGTACTTATTTGAGTTCCTGAAAAAAGATGGGATATAAATCTAACAAATGAACAAATAATAAAATCAATGGAGTGTTCTGTTATACATTTGCATGTTGCAATATAAATCTTTGTATATGGATTGATTTTTAAAATTTATAATGGAATATGAAAAAAAGGAGCTCCGGCCAGCTCTCATGACAAGGTGGACAGGGTGAACCCTGGCACCAATTTATCTTGGGTGGCAGGGAGATCCCTTCTGCACTTGCTTCTCTAGGCCTGTTAGCACTACTCTATGGGGTGGCCCAGCTCCAGGACCCAGAGAAGGACTGCCCAGGCTAGTTGATCAATGAGGATACACTTTCACTGGCTGTAGGCAAGAGCAGTAGTGGCTGGAAGTGATAGGATGACCCATACCACCAGCAAGGGCACACCAAGCCAAGACAGCCTGCACCCTCCCCCCAGACTTCATTAGGTAGGTGGGTGCTATCTTCCCACCAATCCCCCAGCTCAGTAACCTGCAAATATTAAAATGGGCTGTTGTCTAATTTATGCAGCTCCCCTATATGAATATACTTTCCATCAAAAGCAACATAGAGTAACTCATACAATTAAACTAATATTTGCACACAGTTTTCCCAGTATATTGAATTTTGTGAGCAACTGTTCTAATACATACTCTTAAAAAAAAAAATAGCTACACCATGCACATATATATTTGTGTGTGTGTGTGTGTGTGTTTTTGTTTAGATGGTCCTCCATATAAACTTTTTGTATGTGTTTGAGTTTTCAGGTCCGTGAATCAAGTACCAAGAAAATATTTATAAAAAGTTTCTCTTTTTTTAAAATTTGGACAGGATCTAGTATGTATGATGAAAATAAAGTGATGGAAATATATATTGTAAGATCTACAATAACCGACATAGTTGAAGGGAAGGTGATCCTGGAGCATTTGCTTGTGTCAGGGGAAGAATAAATGTATTTCAGAACTGTACAGCTATTTAACTATAAATTAATAATACTGCATGTCACAGAAAAGTTCTAATGTTTTGTCATGGATCTGTCATTGAAATGACATGTTATTAATTAAGAAGCAGATGTTACTGCCAATCATGCTATTCTATTTGTTTTGTTTATTAAAAATTTCTAATGGAAAGTATTTTTATAAAACAAATACTACCCCACTTCACTGAGATTGTTTAGTCTGTTGGTGTGTGGATTTAGGTGATTTTTACACCTTTAATCCACTATTAGTATCTGATTACAAAGAGGCTGTTTGTTTGACCTTGGCTTTGTGCTCTTGTTACCTCACCATTCAGAGTGGCCTGGAAGTGGCATATCTGAAAGGCCAGACTTCTCAAAGCAGAGTTCTTGGTTCCCTATTTAATGTGTAGCATATCTGTCTGGAATAAGACCAGTGGGGGCACAGTGCATTAGCATAAGAACAGCATGCGCTCTGAAATTCATTTTGAAAAATTAACTTTGAATTTCAAGCAATGAAAATGTAAAGGGGGAAAAGATTTTGTTTTATAAGGTTTCCATTTTTGATACAGTATGTTTACTTGAGGACAAAATAACACCTAAAGCCTTACTAAAGCATTGAAGGCAGCTTTCAAGTGATTGGTCTCAATTAAAAGTATGCAAAAAAAGGATCATAATACATAGCTAGAGCCATGTACCTTTCTCCCTAGTTCTGTTTCCTCATGAATGTGCAACCCTCTGTATCTATGGAAATATATTCTTGGATTTGCTTGCCAGTCTGCATAAATTACATGTGTGCAGCAGAATCTCATGCCAATTCTTGTGGGTAAAAAGTTGAATACTGGATCTCCACTTGTTTGATGGTGGTGGTAGGATCTCAAGGTTACTACATTTTGTACACAAAACATCAAAATGGGGTTTGGGAAGGAATTACTGTATTGGATTAAAACATTTTCCAATATCATAGAAATATACCAAGTACTGCTTTCTAGATACCAAGGAAGAATTAATACAGTAGATGTTCTGATTAGTTAATAATTTTTTTTTCTGGAATGGTGTTGCATTGTCCTAGGGCATTTGATGTAAGTAGGGTGTTGAAGGAATATGATGCCTGTGGGGAAAATAATAGTCATGGTGCTCATTGATAACCTCAGTGATGGTTTAATTACTGGTGGCAAGATTTTTCTAGAATGAATGAAAACAGGGCTGATTTTTCAAAAACGCCTTCCAAAAAGAATATTCCTTGGATCAGTTTTTAAAAATTTGTATTAGAAATTCTGCTTTAAATGTACTGTATATACCTGCGTAGAAGCCCACCTGTGGATAAGCCGAACCCAATTTTGGGGGTATATTTTGGCATCTAAAATTCTTGGCAAGTATATGTGGTAAGCTTCAAGAAGCATTTGAGAGTTCCAGTTTTTCCCAATTTTTATTCCTGGGGGAGGGGGGTGAATTGTGCACTGGCAAGTGAAGCATTTGTTGTCCCAAAGCATCCTTTCCCAGCTGGAGCTTTCCAAATATGTTGAAGTATAACTCCCCAAATTCCTAGCCAGCATGGCCATGGGAATTGTAAGAGCTGAGAAAGTACCATATTGAGAAAAGCTGCCTTGAATGGAGCAAAGAAAGAAAATAGAAACGCCTTGTGTGTCACCCAGTTTGAATGGTCCCTCTCTCCTACTCTAGCTGTCATTAGAAGGATCATTATTTTTCCTGTGGAGAAAACAAATATGTCTTTCAAAAAAAAAATTTCTCTGTGCCTAGTCTTTTTGTGGTGGTGGCTGTAATTATTGTTGTTTAGGCTGTTCACCTGAAAAGCAATATAATGGCATAAATTTCAGCTAGCTTGTAGCAGCAGAAGTTTTCCCTATTCCATGTTCATATCTGCATGCAACCTCCATAGATAGGAGCCAAATTAACATTGTTAGGCTACCTCAAATAAAAAGGTGATTCTTAAAGTAAAAGAGGCCATTAGGATAAGATATATTAGCTTTATTTATATGTGTAGAGAGATTTTTGAAGTATTTTGAAGAGAGTTGCCAACTCTAATTTCCAGCAGTCCAAAAAGCATGAACCCCACACATTCCACATGCTGCCCATTCCTTTTTTTTCCCCTCTGTCTTCTTTTATTTAAAGCTTTATTTGCTCATTCATACCTTTCCTCTTAAGAAGGCATGTTTTCCTGTTTTATGTTTTTAAATAACATTTGGTTAACTATTAACTACATTTTGTCCATTTCATTTGGTAATATTTCTGCAGGGACAGTACAAACTGAATTATGTTATAGTGTCTCAGAATCATTTAAAAGTTATTCATTTTCTTTTGGATGGAATTTATTTTTTATGTTACCTTTGTCTGTACATTGTCTCACCAGCAGAAGATGAAGGAAGGCAGAAGAATATAAGTTATCAGTTGACTTGGTACTGATTAATATCTAAAATCTTGTTGAGGAATGAGACTAACAGAAATATTGGGGGAAACGAACATGTAATGCTGGAGTTATAGATTTTAAATGCAACTAAAACAGAGAATGTATCTTGGATTTTTTAAAAAGTGAATCTTAATATATTCAGAGCAATGATAAGCAAGATTCCATAGCAGAAAAAGCTAATGGGAGAAATTGTTTGATTCATGCAAATAATTCCAATGAGGAAAAAAGCAGGAAGGCAGCAGAAGCCAATATAGCTATTTAAAATCTTAGTGAACATCTAAAAACAAAAAAGGAAACATGCATGGAATGGAAAAATGCCCAAGTCCCAAAGGAAAAGTATAAACAATAGCTCAGAACTCTAGGGTTGGTGTCAGGAAAGCAAAAGCTCAAAATGAGCTGAGCTTAACAAAGGGCTAAAGGGCTTCTTTAGATATGTTCAAAAGAAAAAGAAAAAATAGTATACCAGCTGCTCAGTGAAGAAGGCAAAATAATAAAGGTAACAAAGGAAAGGCAGAACAACTCAACTTCTGTTTTAAATCAGTCTTCTTGTACCACAATATCTGTGTTGCTCCAGGAAATTGTGATGGGAAGAATGAAGGAGCAGAACTGAAGTTGAAGATTGATAGAAATATGATTCTGGAATAGAAAGTAGAGTTTAAATCTCCAGGACCAAATGAATTGCTTTCTAGTACACAGAAGTAGCTAATGGGTTGGCTGAACTCTTAAGTATCATGGCTAAGAAATGCTGGAGAACTATTTTCAGAAATGGGAAGAGATTCAACAAATCACTCTCTTATATCAATTCCTTGAGCAGATCATAAAGAAACTTGGAATATTGGTTGACTGCAAACTGAAGTCAGCAGTGTGATACGGGTGGGGAAAAAATCAAACACAGTTTTAAACTACATTAAGGGAACATGGCTTCCAAATCATGGGGTGTAATTGTTCCACTTTATTTTGCTTTGGTCAGACTCCATTTCAACTATTGTGCTCATATCTGGGCACCCTATTCTATGGAGGTTACATACAAACTGGAACTGAATGTTCAGAATGAACTAAGTCCTATTAAGAGAAGTGGAAGGAACAGGGAGTGCTTAGCCTTGAGCAGTCTAAGCAGGAGATGGGGTAGAATATGAGAGCATTCTTCAAATGCCTGAAAGGATGTCACAAAGAAAGTCAAGAGTTGTTCTCCATCATTCCAGAGTGCAAGACACAAAATTCATTTAAGTTATAGTTATGCAGATTCTGAATTAATGTTAGAAAATAAATCCTAGCAATAAAATTAATTTGACAATGGAAACAATGATCCAAAGGAGTGGTTTACTGGATGTGTTCAAGTAAAGACCAGACAGCCATCTCTCAGAGATGCTTTAAATTTGACTATTGCAGATATCAGGGGAATTCTGTAGCCCATTTCAAATTTATGAAAATATGATTCTGTAATAAAAATAAAATATTAAGATATATTAAAATATAACACATTAAAATCAAATATAATTAATTATATTTTAATATATCTTAATATTTTATTTTCATTAGAGAATCATATATTCATGAAATTAATTTAAAAGCTGTGTACAAAGATCAGTTAAACAAAGAAACCCATCCAGGTGGATTATGTGATCCCCTTCAACTAAAATATAAATAAACCTTGAAGTTATTTGTGATTCTTCAACATACTTTAGCTTTAAAAATGATAACTGATTGGCATGCTTGCCTAACCATGTGCAGTGAAGGTTTTTCACAGTAAATCTCCTTGAATATGTAAACCCAAACATAGCTTCTTAGCAACAGTGCACTTCCATCCCCCCATCTCCACATGTCCCCTTCTTCTTACGTGGGCTACTGTGAATGTGTCCTTCCCTTTACAAGGCAGAAGTACCTATCTGTTTATGTGTTCCTGTTTTCTGATGTGTGCAAGGGGCTGATGCCTCTGCTGTCATAAAGTATGCAATGCATAACTGAGCAACTTTAGCTCCACCAGCCAGTTCTTTCCTGATCCATCCGTCAAAGTGCTATGCGAGTGGCCCCCTAAATTGATAAATTCCCACAGTGCCTGTTGACCCAGCTGCCAAGGCCTCATCCAGCAGGTGTTGTTTTTATGACCACCCTGACAGTAATACAAACTGTTTAGCAGTTGCATTGACCTCACAGCTATTAACACCGATACAGACTTCATCTGTGTAGCTAGTTTTCAAATATGACAGAATTGCTTAAAGACTAGAGGTCATGAACAAGTATACCATATAAGAATAAATTTGATATGCTGCTGAGTTTTAAAAAAATCCAAAAGCTGGAAAGGTTCTTTTCCTTACTTCCCACTTCATTCCCCTGCAGTAAATCAAGTAATGAGCACTTGGCAAACTTCCCAGTAAGAAAGCAAATGTACTGAAAAATCATACCTGAAAGAGGGCTGTATTTATTCTGAGAAAAGTAGATGTTTTTCTATATTCAGCTGGTGATTCTATATTAGAACATGTTCACATTGTTATAATTTGAAGATGAAAAACTTTTTCTTCTCTTCTGTATTTTCATCCTTTCTCCACCAGGCTAACTGGGATGATGATCACTTTAATGAAGCTCCTCCTGATGAGAGAGAGATGAAATTATGTTTTATAGCAGCCTTGCCCAGTCAATGCCCTCCAAATAAGCTGGCATTACATATATTTCTTGGCAGAAATTCTGGGAGTTATAGTTCTACCATAATAGATGCACATAATGTGTTTAGCTAATCCCTCATGCAATAATTATGTGTTCTCCAATATTTTGTATCTATAATATTCAACTGAAAAAAAGTTTCAATTTAACATTGGTTAGTATCCATGGAGTCACTTAACACTCCAAAACTACACTATAACATTGAAAAGCACATTTGAACAGCATTCATGAAGACTGAGGCAGATGCTGACTTATGAGCTAATCACATTTTTGTTAGTCTGTGTATCAATGAACACTGAAGACTGAAAAGGAATCAAGGCACAGTTAAATGAAGCATGCATGAGTAAAGTGTGTCATGTGAATACAATCACTTGAGTGTTCTGATATGGATGTCCTAATGCCAATGTATGTGATTGCCAATAGGAATCTGGAATACATCTTCATATGTATATGATTTTTACATTTCTGCTAAAATGTTAGGAACATTTCTGTAAAAAATAATTGATGCTGTTATACTACATCCAGTATGAAAGGACATCAAGGTGGCTTACCTAATATTTAGAGAACTCTTAATTCTGAACAGTTTTTGTTGACAAAATAAGATTTCTAGCGCTTCCTTGAAAATATTTTTGCTGGCTATAGTGGCAATGTTTGTTGAATAGCACACTGGATTTCATCATCATCAAACCCTGAAAATGTCTAAGATACCCATTTCTTGCACTTCACAAAAATGCTGTTGCATGGTCCATTTTAAATAGCTTCAGTTTTGGAGAACAAAAATAAAGAATGCACCCTACATATGTAAACTGTTTATATTTGACCCTGACATTTAAATATGTGCATTGCCTGTATATTTTTCCATAGGCCTTTTGTTCCAGAAGAATGTAAAAGAACAGCATTTCCTGCCCAGATATTGACATCTGAATGCTCAAGGCATTGCCAAAATGGGCACTGCACTCCCACTGGAAAATGTTGTTGTAATCAAGGCTGGGAAGGAGAATTTTGCCGAACCGGTTGGTATACAATTCATAGTAATTGCTGAAAGCAGCAAGCCAATAGCAATCTCTGACATTTATTAAAAATTCTTATATATAATGAACAGATGGGTAAGAAAATGTCTAGAGCAGTGTTTCTGAACCTTGGCAACTTTAAGACATGTGGACTTCAACTCCCAGAATTCCCCAGTCAGTCATGGGAGTTGAAGTCCACATGTCTTAAAGTTGCCAAGGTTCAGAAACACTGCTCTAGA